TGGATGGTCCTTCAACCGAGCAAAGGAACATTTTTGTGATGCCCCCAACTGGAGATAACATGAGTTTGGCTACTGAAGATAATTTCTGGGCAGCATTTTGAAGCCTTTTAATTATGCTATATTGCTGAAGTTTATGTCTTTTGTGTCTTCTGTGTAATGGAGAATTTATGGGTAGCCAAAATTTGTGTCTTTTGTGCACTAGAGAATTCTTAGGCAGCTGAAGTTTGTGTCTAGTGTGTTGCAGAATTTTTGTGGAGCTTTAAATTATGTTTGCACTTTTGTAGTACCACAGATTAGTTAACATAGCTTTTGTTATTTATGACAAGTTTTATTGTGGTGATGAACCATATTTGGGCATGATTTGTTTTTGTTCATGCACTCTGTACAAGTGCTATGTTAAGCTATGAAACAATGCTAAGTTTATAAGAAAGGATATAAAAGTTTTAGGTAAATGTTTATTATTCAGTCACTGATCAAGAAGATGCTTATTTAGTTTGTTCTTTTCATTGTTCAAGCTTTTTGCTGCAAATGGTCATTTATTTGTTAGTTTAACATTATAAGAAGTAAAGACTCATTTACTGCAAATGCGTTTTTGTCATTGATAAGGAAGAATATGGATACAGATTGTACAAGAGACATGGCTGCCAATGTCTACATACAAAATCCTACATAGCTGCCAATGTCTACATTAACTACCACCTTCTAACTTAACAAAAGAGCAGCTTAACAAGAACAGTTTAGGAATTGGTCATTTTATAACTGACCATAAACAAATGCTATAATAACCACAACAACTACAATAGTCAGCAACAACTTCTTAATCAACCTCCTAACTGAATTCTCAACTCCAATACAAACACCATCACCCATTGCTTTCATCCTGCACTAACTCCGTGGACATTTCATCCTTTAGCATCTCAATAGGCCTTTCAAAACCTATTTCCTTCAAATCAGCTCTCACCTTCTCAATGCTTCCTTCAACATTCATCCCCCTCAAGTCAGCCCTTAGATTCTCAATGCAATTTTCAACGTGACTCAGGTTACCTCTTTGTCCTCTTGGAACCCTTTTCCGTTGAGACTTCAACCACTCATTTTCCTCTTTCAAATGCCGAATCACATCAGGTGCTCTTCCAACGATTTCTCCATCATGCCATTCAAAGAAAATGCATTCACTATCAGTCTATCATCATATAAAACAGAGAGAAAGAGCTAGGTTCTATAAATAAAATTTTCAAAAATATTAGTGTATACAATACCAGCAAAAAGCTCAAAGGAAACGAAACTGCCAGTAGCGCATCCATCGAACGTCCTTCCTGCATCCATAGGAAGCCATAGATTGACACATGATATAGAACAATGACTCGACCTAATCCCAAATTGTTTCGAATCCCAAATCCCCAATTTCAGGTTCCCAAAACCCCTAATTGTTCCTAGAAAGAAGCCCTAATCGATCCCCAGAAAAAAAAAACCCAGATCGCTCCCCTGATCATTCTGGAAAGAAACTCAAATCATTCCCCAAAAACCACCCTAATCGTTCCCCAGAAAAAAAACCCAATCGTTTCGTTCCCCAGAAAAAAACCCAGATCTCTCCTAGAAAGAAACCCTGATCATTGTGGAAAGAAACCCAAATCATTCCCCAAAAACCACCCTAATCGTTCCCCAGAAAAAAAACTCAGATCATTCCTAGAAAGAAACCCGATCATTCCGCAAAGAAACCCAAATCATTCCCCAAAAACCACCCTAATCATTCCGAAAAACACCCTAATCCCTGATCTCTCTGCGTTTCTTAAGAAGTGGGGCTCAGGGGATCGGGGAACTTGAAGTGGACGGTGGACCCGAGGCTCCCTTCCTTTTATGTTTGCCTTTCGTTCTGAATTTTTTTTTTTTTTGTGGCATCCAAGTGGACAACCCAAATGCTAAATCACTTGCCACATAGGCATGACATGGCAAAAATGTTGCCACGCAAGCGAGGTCCTAACGGCAGTTAAGTTGGCCGTAAGAAGAAGGGCTAAATTGCACCGATCGCAAAGTTCAGGGGCTTATCTGCTTCAATTAAAGTCTAGGGGCTTAATTGCGATTCTGGGGTTGGTTCAGGGGCTTAACTTATGGTTTTGCCTTATTTCAAGGACGTGTTTGGCTTTTGGTACATAACGTCATGTTTTGCTGGTAGGCGTGCAGGTGTACCGTAACCGAAGGTGGGGTCCTCGAAATTTCTTAATTCTTCTTAGTAGGTATTACACTATTACCGCGCGGAGGCATTGCACATGACAGGCACATGAACCTTTTGATTTTCTCTCATTGTTCCCAAAATGTTAAAATCTTTTGTATTTTAGATATTAAGGAATTTGAATTCCCCATAACTTAGTTGTGTGTTTCTGTTTTGTTAATTTTAATCCCACTTTTTACCGAAAATGAAAAAAAAAAGGACATTGCACATCTTTTCTTTCTAAAGAAAAAAATTATTTACAATGTTTTTTATAATAAATTTTTATAACAATAAATTTTCTTAATT